GAGACCCCGATATTTGGGGGTGGGGGGAGGGGTTTATCCCGTATGGGGTCGCACCGTATGGGCATAAAGTTGAAGACGTTGGGCATTCCGGGGCAGTAACAGAGGAAACAGCCGATGGACACCTGGAACACGATGGCGATCACCAGGATGCGGTTCCTGCCGGGACATCCGGACCCTATAGCGCCTCGTGAGCCCCTATAGCGCCTCGTGGGCCCCTATAGAGCTTCGTGAGACCCTGTAGAGCCTCGTGAGCCCATATAGAGCTTTGTGAGCCCCTATAGCGCCTCGTGAGCCCCTGTAGAGCCTCGTGAGCCCCTATAGAGCTTCGTGAGCCCCTATAGAGCCTGGTGGGCCCCTATAGAGCCTCGTGGGCCCCTATAGAGCCTCGTGAGCCCATATAGAGCTTTGTGAGCCCCTATAGCGCCTCGTGAGCCCCTGTAGAGCCTCGTGAGCCCCTGTATTTGTCCTAACCTAAGACTGAATATAAAAATAACAACCTCAGCATTCCAAAAACCAAAATGATTTTAAAGTTGATTTAAATACAAAAAAGTTTAAAAAACTCTGATGCTGAAGTACATCATCATCTTCATTCTCCAAGGTTAATTTTAAAAATCCCAAAGCCAATATAACTGTTTCTTTTTTATTATTATTATTATTGAATTTCACCATACGTAATGCAAATATCACAGTGCTGTGAACTAGAAAGTGTAACCTGCTCTTCATTCAGCTGAGATGATGTAACAAGCTGCTTAGCCTTGCAGCTGCATTACATAAATATTATTAATGACAAAATGTGGGCTGGGTGTTAAAGTATTGGAGCAATCCAAGGCAATATCAGTGACGAGGTTTTTCGGACATTATCTAAAGTATGGCAGATGAGTCTCCCATTAGGAAAAATGTTTCTCGGGAGACAGGATCGTGTATTGGTAATTCTTACTTTATTTGATCTGCTGATGAAAAGTATGGAGAGAGATGTCTTGGTGTGTGGAATCCAGCCATGCCTATTTGTGGATGGGGGTGTGGTTTACTGCAAGATATCTCAATACAGCTATGAATAAAATACCTGATTTTTTCAGAGTTTGCATAATATTAGGGACAGCCATGCAAACACAGGCTCTGCTGTCATCAAAACTCTTAATCAAGGACCTAATAAAAACTCTCCACAAAGTCAGTGGACTTTAGGAAGCAATTCATCTCCGCCTGAGCTAGACATTTACAATAAGTCAGATGAAGCGGTCCCTTTGCCTCTGGAAGCAGACAGACAACAGGTAAGCTATGCATTGTGTCTGAACTGGTTTGGTGGGAATTTTTAGCTTTCAGGTCTTCTACGTGAACTCTTGCTCCTACAGAAATTGCTTTATGGTCTTTGTTGGCCTGTAGAGCCTTGTGGGCCCCTATAGCGCCTCGTGGGCCCCTATAGAGCCTCGTGGGCCTCTATGCGCATCGTGAGCCCCTATAGAGCCTCGTGGGCCCCTATAGCGCCTTCTGGGCCCCTATAGAGCCTCGTGAGCCCCTATAGTGCCTCGTAGGCACCCCCTGTGGGCACCTATAGCAGAGCCCCTGTTTCCCGTATAGACGCTGGGGGTGGGTATATACACACGTGGGCACCAGAAGAGACCCTATAGGGCACCAGGAGAGACCCTATAGCCCCCCATAGGCACCAGCAGAGCCCTATAGGCCCCGTAGGCGCTGGAAGAGCCTTTATAGCCCCTATCACCCCTATAGCAGAGCCCCTATAGCACCCATAGGTGTGGGCAGAGCCCATATAGGTCTTGGCAGAACCCCTATAGGTGCTGGCAGAGTCCCTATAGATACTAGCAGAGTCCCTAGTGGTCCTGTGTGAGCCCCTATAGGTACTGGGAGGGTCACTATAGGTCCTGGGAGAGGCACTATAGGTACTGCCAGAGCCCCTATAGGTCCTGGGAGAGCTCCTATAGATACTGAGAGAGCCCCTATAGGTCCTGGCAGATCCCTTGTAGGTACTGGCAGAGGCCCTATAGGTCCTGGCAGAGCACCTATAGGTCCTGGGAGGGTCACTATAGGTCCTGGGAGGGGCCCTATAAGTGCTGGGAGGGTCACTATAGGTCCTGCCAGAGCCCCTATAGGTACTGCCAGAGCCCCTATAGGTCCTGGGAGGGTCACTATAGGTCCTGGGAGAGCCCCTATAGGTACTGCCAGAGCCCCTATAGGTCCTGGGAGGGTCACTATAGGTCCTGGGAGAGGCACGATAGGTCCTGGCAGAGCCTCTATAGGTCCTGGGAGAGCGGGAGGGTCACTATAGGTACTACCAGAGCCCCTATAGATCCTGGGAGAGCTCCTGCCCCCTCGCCGTCACTGGAAGAAGCCCCATATCAACACCGGTAGGTTCCCATCACCCCTATGCCCCCCTATAGGCACTCGAAGAGCCCCTATAGCCGTCCCCATCCCCCTCCCCTCCCCAGCCTTCCCCTATAGCCCCTATAGGTCCTGGGAGGGCCTCTATAGGTCCTGGGAGAGCCCCTATAGGTACTGCCAGAGCCCCTATAGATCCTGGGAGAGCTCCTGCCCCCTCGCCGTCACTGGAAGAAGCCCCATATCAACACCGGTAGGTTCCCATCACCCCTATGCCCCCCTATAGGCACTCGAAGAGCCCCTATAGCCGTCCCCATCCCCCTCCCCTCCCCAGCCTTCCCCTATAGCCCCTATAGGTCCTGGGAGGGCCTCTATAGGTCCTGGGAGAGCCCCTATAGGTACTGCCAGAGCCCCTATAGATCCTGGGAGAGCTCCTGCCCCCTCGCCGTCACTGGAAGAAGCCCCATATCAACACCGGTAGGTTCCCATCACCCCTATGCCCCCCTATAGGCACTCGAAGAGCCCCTATAGCCGTCCCCATCCCCCTCCCCTCCCCAGCCTTCCCCTATAGCCCCTATAGGTCCTGGGAGGGCCTCTATAGGTCCTGGGAGAGCCCCTATAGGTACTGCCAGAGCCCCTATAGATCCTGGGAGAGCTCCTGCCCCCTCGCCGTCACTGGAAGAAGCCCCATATCAACACCGGTAGGTTCCCATCACCCCTATGCCCCCCTATAGGCACTCGAAGAGCCCCTATAGCCGTCCCCATCCCCCTCCCCTCCCCAGCCTTCCCCTATAGCCCCTATAGGTCCTGGGAGGGCCTCTATAGGTCCTGGGAGAGCCCCTATAGGTACTGCCAGAGCCCCTATAGATCCTGGGAGAGCTCCTGCCCCCTCGCCGTCACTGGAAGAAGCCCCATATCAACACCGGTAGGTTCCCATCACCCCTATGCCCCCCTATAGGCACTCGAAGAGCCCCTATAGCCGTCCCCATCCCCCTCCCCTCCCCAGCCTTCCCCTATAGCCCCTATAGGTCCTGGGAGGGCCTCTATAGGTCCTGGGAGAGCCCCTATAGGTACTGCCAGAGCCCCTATAGATCCTGGGAGAGCTCCTGCCCCCTCGCCGTCACTGGAAGAAGCCCCATATCAACACCGGTAGGTTCCCATCACCCCTATGCCCCCCTATAGGCACTCGAAGAGCCCCTATAGCCGTCCCCATCCCCCTCCCCTCCCCAGCCTTCCCCTATAGCCCCTATAGGTCCTGGGAGGGCCTCTATAGGTCCTGGGAGAGCCCCTATAGGTACTGCCAGAGCCCCTATAGATCCTGGGAGAGCTCCTGCCCCCTCGCCGTCACTGGAAGAAGCCCCATATCAACACCGGTAGGTTCCCATCACCCCTATGCCCCCCTATAGGCACTCGAAGAGCCCCTATAGCCGTCCCCATCCCCCTCCCCTCCCCAGCCTTCCCCTATAGCCCCTATAGGTCCTGGGAGAGCTCCTGCCCCCTCGCCGTCACTGGAAGAAGCCCCATATCAACACCGGTAGGTTCCCATCACCCCTATGCCCCCCTATAGGCACTCGAAGAGCCCCTATAGCCGTCCCCATCCCCCTCCCCAGCCTTCCCCTATAGCCCCTATAGGCACCGGAAGAGGCCCTGCTGGAAGAGGGAGAGGCGTCGGGTCTTGCGGATGAGGACGTCGGCGATTTGGCACATCTCGATGCTGATGAAGAAGACGGTGTAACACGTGTACTGTTGGTACCGGCGCTGCTCGAAGGTCTACGGGGCGGAGGGAGGGGGAGACGTATAGGTCGGGGAACCTATAGGGGGACCTATAGGGATCTCCGGGGGGATGGATGGTATAGGGGCTGTGGGTACCCATTGTTGGCCGTAGCTGTCCTGCAGCTCCTGCTCGTGGGTGTCCTCCCAGCGCGGGCGCAGCCCCAGGCAGAGCAGCGGCCACCAGCCCTCCTGAGCCATGGCCACGAAGTAGGCGGTGAAGCCGGCGAAGGACTGGATGGCACCTGGCGAGGGCTTTCCGTGGGTGGCCGGGGACCAAGTGGCCCGGGTGGCCAAGGACCCAGGTGGCCAAAGACCCATGGACCCAGGTGGCCAAGGACCCAAGTGGCCAAGGACCCAGGTGGCCAAAGACCCATGGACCCAGGTGGCCAAGGACCCAAGTGGCCAAGGACCCAGGTGGCCAAAGACCCATGGACCCAGGTGGCCAAGGACCCAAGTGGCCAAGGACCCAGGTGGCCAAAGACCCATGGACCCAGGTGGCCAAGGACCCAAGTGGCCAAGGACCCAGGTGGCCAAAGACCCATGGACCCAGGTGGCCAAGGACCCAAGTGGCCAAGGACCCAGGTGGCCAAAGACCCATGGACCCAGGTGGCCAAGGACCCAAGTGGCCAAGGACCCAGGTGGCCAAAGACCCATGGACCCAGGTGGCCAAGGACCCAAGTGGCCAAGGACCCAGGTGGCCAAAGACCCATGGACCCAGGTGGCCAAGGACCCAAGTGGCCAAGGACCCAGGTGGCCAAAGACCCATGGACCCAGGTGGCCAAGGACCCAAGTGGCCAAGGACCCAGGTGGCCAAAGACCCATGGACCCAGGTGGCCAAGGACCCAAGTGGCCAAGGACCCAGGTGGCCAAAGACCCATGGACCCAGGTGGCCAAGGACCCAAGTGGCCAAGGACCCAGGTGGCCAAAGACCCATGGACCCAGGTGGCCAAGGACCCAAGTGGCCAAGGACCCAGGTGGCCAAAGACCCATGGACCCAGGTGGCCAAGGACCCAAGTGGCCAAGGACCCAGGTGGCCAAAGACCCATGGACCCAGGTGGCCAAGGACCCAAGTGGCCAAGGACCCAGGTGGCCAAAGACCCATGGACCCAGGTGGCCAAGGACCCAAGTGGCCAAGGACCCAGGTGGCCAAAGACCCATGGACCCAGGTGGCCAAGGACCCAAGTGGCCAAGGACCCAGGTGGCCAAAGACCCATGGACCCAGGTGGCCAAGGACCCAAGTGGCCAAGGACCCAGGTGGCCAAAGACCCATGGACCCAGGTGGCCAAGGACCCAAGTGGCCAAGGACCCAGGTGGCCAAAGACCCATGGACCCAGGTGGCCAAGGACCCAAGTGGCCAAGGACCCAGGTGGCCAAAGACCCATGGACCCAGGTGGCCAAGGACCCAAGTGGCCAAGGACCCAGGTGGCCAAAGACCCATGGACCCAGGTGGCCAAGGACCCAAGTGGCCAAGGACCCAGGTGGCCAAAGACCCATGGACCCAGGTGGCCAAGGACCCAAGTGGCCAAGGACCCAGGTGGCCAAAGACCCATGGACCCAGGTGGCCAAGGACCCAAGTGGCCAAGGACCCAGGTGGCCAAAGACCCATGGACCCAGGTGGCCAAGGACCCAAGTGGCCAAGGACCCAGGTGGCCAAAGACCCATGGACCCAGGTGGCCAAGGACCCAAGTGGCCAAGGACCCAGGTGGCCAAAGACCCATGGACCCAGGTGGCCAAGGACCCAAGTGGCCAAGGACCCAGGTGGCCAAAGACCCATGGACCCAGGTGGCCAAGGACCCAAGTGGCCAAGGACCCAGGTGGCCAAAGACCCATGGACCCAGGTGGCCAAGGACCCAAGTGGCCAAGGACCCAGGTGGCCAAAGACCCATGGACCCAGGTGGCCAAGGACCCAAGTGGCCAAGGACCCAGGTGGCCAAAGACCCATGGACCCAGGTGGCCAAGGACCCAAGTGGCCAAGGACCCAGGTGGCCAAAGACCCATGGACCCAGGTGGCCAAGGACCCAAGTGGCCAAGGACCCAGGTGGCCAAAGACCCATGGACCCAGGTGGCCAAGGACCCAAGTGGCCAAGGACCCAGGTGGCCAAAGACCCATGGACCCAGGTGGCCAAGGACCCAAGTGGCCAAGGACCCAGGTGGCCAAAGACCCATGGACCCAGGTGGCCAAGGACCCAAGTGGCCAAGGACCCAGGTGGCCAAAGACCCATGGACCCAGGTGGCCAAGGACCCAAGTGGCCAAGGACCCAGGTGGCCAAAGACCCATGGACCCAGGTGGCCAAGGACCCAAGTGGCCAAGGACCCAGGTGGCCAAAGACCCATGGACCCAGGTGGCCAAGGACCCAAGTGGCCAAGGACCCAGGTGGCCAAAGACCCATGGACCCAGGTGGCCAAGGACCCAAGTGGCCAAGGACCCAGGTGGCCAAAGACCCATGGACCCAGGTGGCCAAGGACCCAAGTGGCCAAGGACCCAGGTGGCCAAAGACCCATGGACCCAGGTGGCCAAGGACCCAAGTGGCCAAGGACCCAGGTGGCCAAAGACCCATGGACCCAGGTGGCCAAGGACCCAAGTGGCCAAGGACCCAGGTGGCCAAAGACCCATGGACCCAGGTGGCCAAGGACCCAAGTGGCCAAGGACCCAGGTGGCCAAAGACCCATGGACCCAGGTGGCCAAGGACCCAAGTGGCCAAGGACCCAGGTGGCCAAAGACCCATGGACCCAGGTGGCCAAGGACCCAAGTGGCCAAGGACCCAGGTGGCCAAAGACCCATGGACCCAGGTGGCCAAGGACCCAAGTGGCCAAGGACCCAGGTGGCCAAAGACCCATGGACCCAGGTGGCCAAGGACCCAAGTGGCCAAGGACCCAGGTGGCCAAGGACCCATGGACCCAGGTGGCCAGGAACCAATGGACCCAAATGGCCAGGGACCCATGGACCAAGGGACCCAGGTGACCAAGGACTCAGGTGGCCAGTGACCAGTGGACCAAGGTGGCCAGGGACCCATAGACCCATGTGGCCAGGCACCGAGGGACTCAGGTGGCCAGGGACCCATGGCCCAAGGAACCCAGGTGACCCCTCCTCCCTTGGGGACCCGGG